CCATGACATTGCTTCCTAGGCTTCCTGAACATACTGCATACCTTTTTATCCCAGTGCTTTTGCTCAGACTGTCTAACCCACCTTGGTCACCTTCTCTACCTGGCCAAGTTCCACCTAAGTTCATAAGAAATACCACCTGGGTTAGTCAGCTTTCTGTCACCACAACAAATATCAGAGATGAAGGGAGTAAAGGTTTATTTTGGCTCCAAGTGTTAGAGGTTCAGTCTGTCACCAGATGGCCAAGTTGTTTTTGAACCTGTGGTGAGGAGGGACATCAGGCAGGTAGCATGTATCAGGCCCAACAACAGGAAGAGGAAGGAACCAGGGTTCCATCATCATCTTTAAAGGTACCATTCCCAAGAACTCTTACTAGGGGGTCAGCCCTTTTTTGTTTGTTTGGTTTTGGTTTTGGTTTTTCAAGACAGGTTTCTCTGTGTAGCCCTAGCTGTCTTGGAATTCACTCTGTAGACCAGGATGGCCTGGAAATCAAAGAGATCTCCCTGCCCTGCTTCCTGAGTGCTGGAATTGAAGGCGTATGCCACCACTGCCTGGCTGCAAACAGCTCCTAAAGATTCTGCTATTTCCCAATAGCACCATGTTTTACAGCAAGCTTTCCTAAGGTTTGGGAGCTGTTGAGCTTTTCCATGACATTGCTTTTAACCCAGTACTAACCAGATCACCAAGCAGTAGGTATCTTTCTTTGTCATAGCACTTAATCAATCTTCTTTGAGAAAAGGTCTCATGAAGCTTAGGCTGGATTGCAAATCACTAGGTAGTCAAGGTTAACCTTTTTGAACTCCCAATCCTCCTGCTTTCACTGCCCACTTTCTGGGATTACAGGTGTATACCACCGTGCCAAGGGACTCCTTTGGTTCTTACTCTTTGTGATCCAGTTCACCTTACTTAGTAGTTTATCTTTGTTCTAACACCGTCACTAAATTGTACAAGTTTGGAAAATGGCTCTACCATTTACCTTTCTCTGACAAACTGATTTACAGAATTAAGCTGATAATGAGTACTTTCAGAGCTGAATAAATTAATGTCACAAAGAGAAAGAAGAAAAGAACAGGAAATGGTTTTCATTTGAGACTCAGCGTGGAACTTCTCACAGTAACAGTGACGGAGAAAAGTACCATAATTGTGAACCTCTATTTTCTTTTTTTGTCTGCTTAAAAATCTACCCATATTTGGCAATATTTTCTACAGGCACAAAAAAAAATGAGCTTGGAATTCCCAAGAACCTGTTTTCAAATGAATGTTTGAAGAGAGATGCTTGTGGATAATAAACACTTTTCTTTAGGAAAAACATCATTATGGCTTATATGCCTTAAACCTTTTATGAACCAAAGTATTGTTAACGACAATACAGACTGTGAAAGACAAAAGTGGATGTTCCAAACACAAAGTTAACTTTTCTTACTTTATCTATATAAATTTTTTTATCCTATCTATCTATCTATCTATCTATCTATCTATCTATCTATCTATCTATCTTTATCTATCTATATCTATCTATCTATCTATCTATCTATCTATCTATCTATCTATCTATCTATCTATCTATATTGAGACAGGGTTTCTCTGTGTAGCCCTGGCTGTCCTAGAATTCACTCTATAGATCAGGCTGGCCTGGAACTCAGACATCCACCTGCCTCTGCCTCCCAAGTGCTGGGATAAAGGCCTGCACCACCATCGCCCGGCTACTATTTATATTTTTTCAAGACAGGATTTTACTTTTCGTACATGCTTACCTGGAACCCACTATAATAAATCATGCCACCTTGGAACTCAAAGGCCCTCCTGCCTTAGCCTCTTGAGTTCTAGGATTCCATGAATTAAGAACCACATCAGTGTTACCAAGGTTAATTTCTAAAAAGCAATCTTATAGGGAGAATACATACAAACTAAAAAGCCTTATTATAGTCCAGGGTACACCTGCAACTTTCAGGTGAGAAAGTCTTTCATGGCTTCTACTTTCCTTGTCCACAGAGTCTTTTTACAACTCTTGTGTAGATAACTCATATACTGGTTTACCTATACCTAAGTGTATATATTTAAGGGTAAAACCACCCCATGCCACCATACACAGTGCCTTTCTCTGAAAAAAAAAGTTTGTCTGTATGGCTTACATTGTGAAGGCTGCTCTTTGCCAGACTTTTGGTAGGAAATGGGAGCTGGTTAGGTCAGTTCTTAATTTGGAATATCAATTCTTCCAATGATCTTCTAATGCACATCTTTAAGTAGTGCTATATTCATTCAATGATTATGTGCTAAATGCTGTGAAAGGTATTGAGGAGGGAGAAAAATACATACAACTTCTGCCTTCAACTTCTATAGGCTGCTGCTAGTAACTAAACCCATCTATCATCTACTGGAGGAAATGAACAATAAACAAACAAGACAATTACAGGCTAGGAGGGAAAGTATGCAGGACAGGAAGCTACTTAATAACCCGTGAAGGCCTCTCAGATACATTTAAACCCTGAAAAGACAAAAACAAGGCCTAACCATACACACTAACTGGGGAAAAGCAACTCAGGCTGAGAGAAATGGAAATGTCCCAAGATGCAAACAGATGCATTCTGTTTGAAGAACACAAATGAAGCAGTGTAGCTATATTTTTCAAACTGTGAGTCATGTTTTGGAGTGTGATGTCAATTTTGTGGGTCACTGCATTTTTAAAAAGGAAGTCAAATAGAAAATGCATCAGCCACATGTTTTTAGACTAAATATTCTTTAATTAACTTTGTGTGTGTGTGTGTGCGTGTGCGTGTGCGTGTGCGTGTGCGTGTGCGTGTGTGTGTGTGTGTGTGTGTGTGTGTATGTGTGTACTGGGTTGCTATTTGTATGTCTCTTAATGCTGGGGGTGTTCAACTCTGCACTAAGCAAGGAGAGTAATAAAAGATGAGGATGGACAGGTAGCCAAGAGCTAGGTAATATATGACTGCGTATTTGTAGGCCACCAAGAAGAACTGGAACTTTATTCTAAATACATACAGTGGGAAGACATTGGAAGGTTTCACACTGGGGAGTGACATGATCTAATCTGACATTGTGATGTTGCTTAAAGATTACTATAGTGAAATCCAAAAGGCCTGAGTGGTAGGCCAGGCCAAAATTCTAACACCAGGGATTCTGAGCAAATTGCTTAATCTTACTACACTTCACTTCCCTCATTTTAAAAATGAGAAGACTGAATCAAGATGACCTTTAAAACCTTGGAGATTGCATAACTTACCTATCTTCTGCTTGATCCCTTGAGCATAAGTAAATGACTATTATAGAACCATCAATTCATTAGTTACGAGTTATGTCTTAATACACTATAAACCATATAGCTATGGCTTGTATTCATATAGAAAGCTATTGTAGAATCTCCTTACTGTAACCAGCTATGATAATAGACATGAGTGAGATCTCTGTGCTAAAAGGGAATGGAGTGATTTTGCAACTCTCTGGTACAAAGTTTGGTACATGAAGAAAACTGGCAAGGAGGTATGAAAAGATTTACTGACCAGGCTATTTGGAACAGATTTCCTTATTTGTTCTAGGTCATCAACTGATGTACACTACAGAACAGTATAAGGGTATAGGAATCTTCTGGTAAGCACTAAAATCAAAATATGAAAGTTTGATTCCATCCACAGTAACCAAATGACTAAGGCAAAATCTGTATTGACAACCCACTAGTTTTTAGTTCCACACTTGACAATCTGATACATGTTTCTTCACTTAATCCTTTAACCTTATTTACATTTCACAGATATGGAAACAGGAACTCAGAAGATGTAAGCAAGCTATTTAGTGGAAGGGTCTAGATTAGCATCAATCAAGGCAGACAGCAACTTGAGCTTTTAAATTCCGTATTTATAACTTATTCTAAATGTTTAAAAATACTGATCAGATAAGTACTTGACAGCTCAAGTATCTATGACATTGAGACACTGAATGTTTAACCAATAAATCAATTCTGCACTTACAGAAACTTTCAAGTACAGAGCGTGATGAAACAAGAACTTGTGAGTAGCACTTTTGGTTTTGAGAAGCGGAATTAAGCAAAATAAAAGGAACTGGATTACCAAATTATGTACGAAGTATATAGCAAAAGTACAATGACAGTTTCCAGGTTTATTTTCTGGTGAAAGGCTATGAACTGCACACAGTGTCACCTGTCATTAACCAGATAGCCCACCAGGCCCATGAACACAAGATGCTAGACATTCTGATTTCTAACTTACATTAACCTTGTAAAGGAAGAAACGAGCACACCATCTGCCTCACTGAAGCAGTTCACACAGTATGGCAAAACCCTTGAAACACGTACAGCATCTTTCCAGTGAGGGTTGAAAAGGTCTCTAACATCTGCCAGCAAAAACACCCACAAACATTCTAACAAAAGTTGGATATGCTCACTGAACACCCCACTTCAACCCCTAGAATGCAAGCTCACCTGTCACATACTCAGCTTCGAATCTCCGCCGGGTCTCAGAGATTAGCTTGGCTTTATTCTGAGCATTATTCTGGATGGGAGACAAAACAGAACCTTAGATGCTTATGGTCTTTACTATGATCACTCAGCACAGCGCACCTGCACTGGAGCACACGGGCCCTGGGCCTGGAAGGCGGCTTCCCCGTCCAGGGACCCAGCAGAGGTTCTGTGCTGCTCACCTCGGCCATGGTCACGATCGTGGACTTGATCGTAGTTGTAGCTGTCGCTGCTTCCACAGCTGGCTGCCAAGTATCTCATCACCAGTCAGCCCAGCCCAAAGGTAGACCAAGAAGGGAGGGAGGAGGAGGCGGTCGCGTGACACCGGAAGGTAGAAGGAAGTGTCTCCATACTGTCCAATCCCATACTGTCGTCCGGGGGTAGAGGCGGGAATAAGTTCTCTGCTCGGCTCCCACTTGCTTCTCTAAGGAGAAACTCCACCCTCCGACGTCCTCCGGGCACTGCTGTCCCGCCCCCAGCAGGCTGGAGCACTCCGACGCTTTCCCCAAAGCACAGCCCCTGACAGCTCGGCAGGTCATTCGCTTCCACCACTCGGAGGCCCCGCCCCCTCAGGTCTCCCCTGGCAACCGCCTCCATCAGGCTTCACCTCCCGAGTTTTTCACTCTGCTATTGGGCCGGGTGTCCCAGCGTGCAATGCGCGGGCGGGAGGTTCGGAGTCATTTAGTGCTTCTGGGACATGAAGATTAGGCTGCCTTGGAGAACTGTTTTTTCCTTCTGACCGTTGCGGATACTTTGGATGGTGAGTGTTCTCTATATCCGGCGATTATTTCCGTTAAGAACTTTTTGTTGTAGTGTCTCACATTATAGTACTGGCAGGCCTGGAACTTGGTCTGTAGCCCAGGTTGGCCTCAACTCTCAGACAGGCTCCAGTTTCTGACTCTCTGATGGAGACTACAGGTGTAGCCACCACTCTTGGTTGTGGAGTGTGAGACGCTTACAAGGCAAATACCTTTGAACTCCGAGTTCAAGTGGTTATAGAAAGTTAAAAAGAAAGATGTTATTTTGAGGAGCTTATTCTTAACAAGGTGGGGATAGGGCTATTATTTCTGCCATGTAAGTGACATTTGTGGTTGTCACAGCTCGGGAATGGAAGTGCATCTGATTTCTAATGGGTAAAAGCCAGGGATGCTGCCAAAGTGGCAGGACAAGTCACAATGCTTATCCAGGGCAAAATGCAAACATTGCCAAGGCTGGTAAAAGCTTAGATTTATAAAGTACTGGAACAAACTTTAGGTTTGGTGGTTTAGTTGAACATAACAATGCTGTCTTTCTTAAAATTTGACAGATACTGCAGACTACTTGTATAAATGTAAAAATAAAACAAAACTGTTAGCCTAGGGACTGGGGATATAGCTCACTGGTACCATGCATGTTGGAGGCCTGATGCTCAGTCTCCAGCAGCCCTTTACCTCCGCCAAAAAGGAAAACTCAAGTCTTCCCTCATAAATCCCTCATCTGTAGCTGGTTCACCACAGTAAGGCATTTAGCATTTTCCCCCACAGTGTTTCCTATATTTACATTTTTATGGGAAAAATTGAACACATTGTTTAAAACTTGTTTGAAAATATTCATAAAATTATTTGAATAGCTAAAATCTCCTCTAGACTCAATTCCCACTTCAGTACCCTTACTTATTAAAATTTAACCATCATGATATGCAGTACATTCCTTTTAACTGTAGTGTGATGTTCCATTTGTTTGTTTTCCTACTGGTAATCATTCAAATTTGTAATTTTTATATTGCAAATAGTAGTGCAGGATATATTTTAGAGTAGTAGTATCCTTCCATATGTGGGTCTGTTTCTCTTGGGTGAGGTCAGAAATACAATTGCCAAAGATACACATTTCAGTTTATTGTCAGGTTAAATTCTATAGTCACCTCTCTCTTTCATAAATGCCTTATTAATTATCTCCTGTTAATGAACTTTGTTCCTCATTCATGTATTTTAGTGCTGTCACTCAGATGAAGCAGTACCATTCTGTGATTTCTGCATTGTTAATTCATCCCATGTGTTGTCGTTACTTAAAAGAGTGACTCTGCATGTATGGCCACTGAAACAAGAGAGAACAACAGTTTTCTGTGTCTGTTGAGTTTAGAGGATGTTCCTTTGATTACATTGATTTTTACCCATTCTCTCACACTGCCTTCCTATGGGCAGTTTGTTCTTAATAGAGAAATGCACGCCATGGCAATATGATTAACAGGGTTGGCTCAAGAGGCAAAATGACTCTTTTCTAAATCAGCATTGCTGATTAGTATTGTAAGCATGGAGCAATGCTGCAACCTTGGGACAGTTTACCTTCATTACAGTAAAAGGGTCTGAATTTATATAAAGGAACAATCAGAACCTGAAATGATGTAATGCATGTATTGTAACTGACAGAGATAATAAGCACAAGTGATTGATCACAATTACTTAATTCTTCTGCTCATTTTCATTAGTTGTATCCACCCTCAATTTCCTCCTATTTTGAATACTAATATTTTTCCTCGGGTCATAAAAATGTATTGTAAAGTAAGTAGTATTTCTGTTTTTTTTCCAGAGCGATTTGTGAGCTTTTTTTCTCTCATCGTGCAGCCTGTACAAACTGTTTTCAGTAAGCAGGGCCCAAGTGCCTTGTCTGTGGGGAGCAACCGAATTCAGCAATCAACATATTTAGGGAAGTCTGAGTTTCAAGACAAGTAAACCATTGATTAACTGCATCTCATCCTAAAGAAGCTAATATAAACCCAAATTAGATTTAGTAGATTTGTAACAGAGAGGGAAGTAGAACTCATAAGAAATTTCCTGAACCAGAAAGATATCTGAAGTCATTTTTTTTTCAGTGTTCTCGGGGTCTCCCCAGTTTTCTGGAAGAGTTCCTGCCTTCTACCCTGCTGAGGCAGAGTCCAGTTTCTGCTGCTGCTTTGCACACTCCAGGCTTAGATGGCCTGGGGGCTTTCAGGAGGTTCTCCTGCTTCTGCTTCCCATCTCAACAAAGGAATGCTGGGATGACAAGGCATACCACTGCATCAGGCTGCTTTTTACTTGGTGAAGTCTGGTCATCCTGCTTATATACCTTCCTGATGGAAGGTACTTTTAATAGAACTTGAAAATGCAGCTTGCCATGCTGATAGCACATTCAGGTATCTTTTCTGACTTAGTTATTCACAGTCTTAGAGTTATTTAAGGAAGTATGGCGTTGTCACCAGGTGCATGATTCGTACCTGTAATCCCAGCACGCCAGAGACAGAGGCAGAGGAATTATGAGGGCAGGGACAGCAAGGGTCTTTTATATAGCAAGGCCTTCTTTCCATAGAACGTTGTCACAATTGTGTAAGAAGTTTTGATATATTGACTTCAAATGAAATGTATGATGACCTCTGTGATAATTTTCTAACAAAGTATGTTTTCTACTCTCTGCCTGTTCCATTGAGTCCTTCTTTTTTCCCCCTTAGGATTAAAGGCCTCAACTGGAATCCATTTGCATTTGGAACTGGATCAACACAGAGACTTGATGTATTAGAATGGCTGGCAAACAAGCAATGCCACTTAATGAGCAAGCAAAATTCTTGTGTTATAATGGGGAAATCCTTGTGTTTCATTTGTCCAAAGGAGATTGTGAAGTGCCCACAGATACATCTGTATTATATGTCAAAAGGATGGTATTTGACAGAGAAACAGAAACATTTGTTCTGATATCCACGGGTTTTTTAAACATTCAGGAGAAAGCTTCTCATTTAAAAATTCTGTGTTGTAAATGTGTGTCAGATTTCAGAACTAGAGTTAACCTCCCTTGCATTTTGATACAATACACAAAATACAGTAGTAGTGCTTTCAAATATTATATACTGTTTCTTCACAATCCAAACAAATTTGAAAAGCATTTGAGTTTTAAACTTCACCATGCATTGGATGACAGCTTACAGATCTTTGATGGCCCTGTAGTTTTTTGGCGATATCTTGACAAATTCTTCTATATATCGTCCCAAATTGGGAAAGTTACTAATATATCAGTTAAACTTTCCTCTATTGAGTGGGTAGGTGAGATCGAAAATTTTGGGGTAGTATTTTTGGGTCTAGCAGAACCACCTGAGGCTAAATGTACCCATAAGCTTTCAGAATCAGATTATGAATTTTCCAATTCCAACCTTTGTGCATATGTTCTTAAAAGTCAAGAAATATTAAGCAATAGCTACCTTATCCCTCTTGCTTACAGTAGTGTAGTAACTCATGTGCATGTCTGTGCAGCTGAGATGGTCGACAAACAGTTAAGAATGTCTCTGATTGCCCTTACAAAAAAGAATCAGCTCGTTTTGTTCCAAAATGGCGTTCCTGTAAGAGTATGCCAGCTTCCATTTCTAGATCCTTGTTCCGTTCAAATTCTAGATTCAGGTAAAGGAAACCGATTTTTCATCGTGTCATTCAACTCCAAGGCTTGTGCTGTTTCAGAAAAGAAATTTAAGGTACAGTGTTTGATCTCAATCTTACAGTAATTCAGTTGGTAGCTTGGGCTTTTCTTTTCCTGTGTTTGCTTTGTTTTGGTTTTTTGAAACAGGACTAGGTCTTAATATGTAGTTCAGATGGCTTTAAAGTTTTCATCCTGCTTTCCTGAATCCTAGGATTACATCCTTGTGCTACCATCACGTACAACCATTTTTAGACTTTCTAAGCATCCCTATTTTGTAAGTCAGTTTTTAGCATTAGTCCTTGTAGCTGTTTCACTGTTTTGTTTTTGTTTTTCTTTCCTGAAGTTGTCTGAAGTCTCCCTATAATAGTTTGGGGTCTTGGTGTTTGAAGTCAATAAAGACTTTGAGTTTGGAAGCATAAATATATACCTACAATTATATTTATTTGTCTTTTACTATAACTATTTGTAATTTTTATTAATGTAATCATATTGGAATATCTAAGTTATAGGAAGTAAAGTGATTGTACTTGAACAATTATACTTAGCAGTTAAGACAAAACAGTAACCATGTAGGATTTAAAATGGAATGAAACATTGCTAATATTGAATACTGAGCCTTTGCTATGAAGACCTTCTGTGAGAGGTTTTAGATAGTAGAATGAATACTTTATTCATTTAAATAATAAAACTATTTTTAATAGCAGTTTTGTCCCCATGTGGAAAGTAACAATCTTTCTTTGTGGAAGCTGTGAATCTGTTCATTCTGTTTCATTCCAAGAAGGAATTGAGGTAGCTTACAAGAAATACAAACAGGCATAAATTCAAGTAAATAATGAAAATCTAAGTCATCATGCTCCCAGACCAGCTCTTCATAAAAGCCCCGGAGATGTTTAATTCAGAGATAGGACTACATTTTCTCTTAGGGTTTCCCTCAAGTGGAAACTGTCTCTGCATGTTTTGACAAGAATCTGAGGCCGATGTCAGGTATGCACAGATATTTGTGTTTTCAATAGAAGAGATTCATATGTTCTCTAGTTGTCCTGTTTCATAGTCTCAGGAAGTTGTGCAGTATTTGAAATAGGAGTGGTCTGAATTAAAATACATTAAAAATGGCAAGTCGACCTGAGATATCAGACTTAGTAAAGGGCTAGGTATGGTGCTACATTGTAATGCCAACAGTGAGTAAACCAAGGCAGAGCCAGTAAGACCTTGTCTTTGAAAAAAAGATTTAGTGAAAATGCAGTGAAATATTTTGATTCTTAATTGATGACATCGAATTGAAATGGTAATGTTCTGGGCATACTGGGTTAAATAGACAGGGTTAAATAGTCAGCCCTCCCTATCTAAGTGTTCTGCAAACACTGATTCTGCCAACAGCAGATTTAAAATATTTGACAAAATCTGGGGTTTGTATTGAATATGAAAAACTTTTTTCCTTGTTTCTGTGCCCTAACAAGTACAGTATAATCAATGAAATGTTGTACTTTCATTGTTTTTGACGTTATAAATAATCTAGAGATGTTTTAAAGTATTATTATTATTATTATTATTATTATTATTATTATTATTATTTGGTTTTTCGAGACAGGATTTCTCTGTGTAACAGTCCTAGATGTCCTGGAAGTCACTGTGTAGACCAGGCTAGCCTTGAACTCAGAGATCTGCTTGCCTCTGCCTTCTGAAAACTAGGATTAAAGGCATTCACCACTATGCTTGGTTATATATTATATACAAATACTAAACCAATAATCATCCACAGAGTCTTGATTCTGCAGAGGGTTTAGGAGCTAATCTTCCACTTACATTGAGAGATGACTATATTACTTTTACATTTTTACTGAAAATTTAAAATTGTATGTGTGCTTCCCATTTTTGGTTCACTTGTATTTGTGTTAAATAGCACTGTTTGAAAGATAATCATTATAAATGTGCATGTACATTCATGCATAGTTCTTTGATGTTTACATGTCCTAAGAATGTCAAAAGCTATACCCATAAAAATCTCACCAACATGATTGCCTAAACATGTTCTGAACATGTTAACAAATTTTGATTGCCAGTGTCTCCTTTCCATAGTTTATTATGCCCCATAATTGTGGGGAGACATGTAGGTTTTCAGATAGGCTGCCTCCCTGCACAAGTGAAGAATCACAGCTTTCGAAATTAATCTTGTAGGACCAGGATTGATATTTTATTATGTAGATTGAAATGCCTTATTTACATTCTTTCCAAAGTATAAGCCGCCTTCCTGTGTCATCTAGATAATGTGTCTGTGTTCCTTGGATTCTGGGTGGGAAGTGTAGCTCTTCTGCCCTTAGTAGGTGATCTGATACTTGTGGTGTTAAAAGCCTTTAGCTCTATGGACCTTTAAGGAAACTATTTTAAACTCCATGTCTCCTTTTCTGTTATAAACTTAACAGATCATTCTATTTAATTAGAATGCTTCTAGGTGTCCTGCTGTTAAGGATCCATTCATTTCCTTTTTTGGCCCTGATAATAACAATGCTTGTACCACCACCACTGGGGTTAGGCTGTTAAGTTCATCTTGAGTGTATTTTACTTTGAGAACTCTTCAAACATGTACTGGTACCTTTTGGTTATCCAGTGCTACTGAATTATTTGGGGAATTGGTCTGATAGTAAACAGCGTGTCCACTGAGGCTTATGAGAAATAGGGTCATCCTTAAATTATCCATGCTAGATAAAGAATCTTCACTAGAGTTTTACTCATGCTAAATATTAGGCTTCCAAAGTTTTAGTTATGGGAAGTGACTGAATTTGTACATAGATCATGAGATTGGAACACAAAAATCAGGACTGTGATAGTCTTTAGATAAGCATTAATAAAATACGACATAAGTATCTTGCTATTTACAAAGTTGTCATAGTTCCTTATGGTTTTGGATCCTCTAGTAGCTGTATCTTTAGCTTTTGTATTGCAACTTTCATCAGTCATTTGTAAGAATGAACTTAACAGATTATAACTGCACAAAACAAAAAGACTTCCTAGTTGGTTCATATTTTTCCTTTCCGTATTCCTCTTGTAACACTCCCATTCTTTCAGGTTGTTGCTAAGTGGGAACAACTTAGCTTAGTCCTGATAAATGACTTTGTTGGAGTTGGAACTGAACAAGTACTGGTCATTTTTGAGGATGCTCAGAACACAGATCAGCTGACTTCATTTGCAATAACAGATTTTGTCAGAATAAGCTATTCAGTAAGTTCTGTTTACATAGTATGGTTTAAGAGCCATTTTAGTACTTAAAAAGCTTGATCCTCACTCTAAATCGTGTGCATCTCTATCTAAATGATTTCATACTTTTAACTTTAAAAGTATATAGACTGACTCCTTTAAATGTGTGCATTGTCCTTTTCAACAAATGTTATATAAATTGACCTTGCTTTTCATATAAACTTGTATTGTGGTATATGTATATCTAAGGGTCACTCAAATGATGGTAATGCTGTAAGCAAACTTTATTGTTGCTTCTGAAATATCATTTTGTATTGACAAATAATATTGCATTAATTAAGGAATAAAAGGAAGTGAAACTACTTCTTAGAAGAGGAAATAAGTGACTATGAAATGGCTCAGTGGCAAGGGTACTTTGTTGCCTAGCCTGATGACCTGAGTTGTGTGCCTAGAACCCACATGGTGGAAGGAGAAAGCTGACCTCCACAAGTTGTCCTCTGACCTCCACATACATGCTGGGTCACATGCTGTGGAACACTTCCAATCCCAGAAAAAAAATAAATGTAATAAATGTTTTCAAATACAAGAAAAAGGTGAAGCAATCTTGAAGTCTTTATCATAAGAGAAATGATTTTCCCTGAAGTTTCACATTTAAGTAGAATTAGAATCTCTCTATTTTTTTTTCTTTTGTGAAATGAAGATGATTGTTCTTTGCTCCAGGGTTTTATAGAGAATAATGAGACAGTATACAAATTTGTGATACAGTATACAAATTTGTGATACAGTATACAAATTTGTGATACAGTATACAAATTTGTGATACAGTATACAAATTTTAGGTGGTAGCAGTAGGACCTGTAGTGATACTTACCCAATTCCCAGATGTTGAAAATACATAATTTGTTTTGCATGAAGAACTGCCCTTTAGATAGTGATTGTAGTTTTTTAATCCTCTGAATTTTCCATTTATTTCAAAGCTTGTCTTGATCTTTTCTGTTATTAGACTAAACCACTGGATTGCAGTGAAGACTCTTTTGCTGAAGAGGAACATGAAAATTATTGTTTGGTGCTTCCAGCACTGGAAGCACAATTAGAAGTTAGTGTCTCGATCTGCTCTTTCCTTCTGCCTTGTGATTAACAAGTTCTAACTGAAGTAAATAACATTGAAAGGGGATGGTTACAGTGTTCAGCAACTCAGTGTTTAGAAAAAGGGTATTTCGGAGAGCTCTATGTTTGGGGCACTGCTGTAAAAATATATTAATATTATGAAGGTGAGTGTGGTGTTGCAGGCCTGTGCTTTTAGCACTTGAGAGGTTGAAGCAGGCTAATTGTTAGTTTGAGTCCAGCTTTGGCTATACACAGTTCCAGGACAGCCTAGGCAACAGAGCAAGACCTGTCTCAAAAATAATAACCCAAACTACTATGCTGTTACATATAAGTATATTGTCTAGAAATGATAACTTTTTGCAGTAGGATTTAGTAGGGTTAACAAGCTATATGAATGAAAATAACAGAAGCCCAGTTTTAAAAGGATCCTGACCTACAGAATCAGTATGTCACAGCATCTCTCTTAGAAGGGCAGTGAGTATAATAGGTTATAGCACATTAACAGACATATAACAGTCTACTCTCAATTTTTCCCTAATAAACTTCTCTACAAAAGCCAAGCATGGTGGCACATGCCTATAACCCCAACACTTGGGGGTAACAAGAGTTTAAGGTCAGTATATACCATGTTCCAAGCCAGCATAGATGAGACTCTCTCAGACAGACCATGAAAAATCTCTGCAAAACAATTATTGTTTTTGGTTAAATATACCAGCTGTATTAGTTTTCATCACTGACAAAGTTCCTAACATAGGATCTAAGGCAATATTTTTCAACCTGTGGGACATGACCCCTTTGGGAAGTCAACCCTTTCGCAGGGGTTACATATCAGATATCCTACATATCAGATGTTTATACTATGATTCAGAGCAGTAGCAAAATTACAGGTATAAAGTAGCAACGAAAATAATTTTGTGGTTGGGGTCACCACAACATGAGGAACTGTATTAAATGGTTGCAGCATTAGGAAGGTTGAGAACCACTGTTCTAAGGGAAGGATTTCTTTTGGATCACAGTTTCAGATATTTCAGTTCTTGGCTGGCCAGCTGCAATTGCTTAGGGCTTGAGATGAGGCAGAATATCGTGACAGCAGGAGTGTGGTGGAGCACAGCTGGGCATCGCATGGTATCCACGAGGCATCTCATGGTATCCACAAAGCAGAGAGTGTGCTTGTGTTAATGTGATTTCTCCTCTCCCCTTTTAACTTTCATACCCTTAGTCTGTGGGGTGATGGATGCTGCCTTACATCCGGAATGGGTCTTGTTCCCTTTAGTTTATTATTTTTGGAAATGCCTTCACAGATCCTGTGCTCTTAAGTTTTTTTGTCAACTTGATAGAAGCCAGGGTCATCTGGGAAGAGGAAGGTCCTTTAGAGATTAACTATTCCTCCCCTACTCCTCATTTTGTATATGATGAAATATGCAGACTAGAAAGATTAAGTGCCTTAGAGCTAAAACTAGAGTCCATTGCATCAACATAGTTGTTAGTAGGGAAGCAAATGGAGGACCCATAACTTGAAGAAACTGGTGAGCATGTAGCAAGATGCTGATAATCATTGTTTGTAATGCCCCACACCTAGACACTAACACAGATCCTCCTCAACAGAAGTGAATTGTGCTCATGAGATGAAGTGCCGTAGAGCACCGAGAAGGAAAGAGATCCAGCTGTTAGGGACAACACGACCAACCTTAAAATCTGAGGTACACAGAATGGTTCAATTTAAGAAGTGTTCGGAAAACATACAAGACGAAAAACACTCTGTAGGAACATGTAGAAAAAAATGGTAAACTCAGAAGACAAGCAAGGAAGTTATGTTAAGAGTCCATGTAGTGTTGCCTTCTGGCTAGAAAAAGACATTTGTGATTATTCAGGCCTCCCAGGCAGCCCCCAGAGTGCTTCCATATACTTGGATATAGTTTTTTGGGTGCTGACTTCATTCTTAGTCTTCAGACTTTCCCAAATTGTGGCATTTGGGGCATGTATAGTAGCATCACAGTAAGGAATATTAGAGCAAGGCTCAGTGTCAAGCAGGGCAGTTTGTCCCCATACTGGTTTTTGCTCGGGTTTCTGGTTATAAGGAGATGAATGAAAGTAGTTCTTAACATACATGGCAAAACTCTGGAAAGGTAAAGCCATCTATTGGTTGCAGGATTATGTGTATAGGAAAGGGAGGGGAATGCTTTATTGACTAAATTTCTTCCAGTGAGCTTGGTTTAGTTGTATGGTTTAATAACCAAACTACACAATATTTGAAACTAGAGATTTGCTATTTTGCCCTGGAGCACAGGGGACATGATGAGAGAAAGAACTGACAGAGGCTAGTGCTAATTTCAGAGGGTTCACTTTCAGTCAGCTCACCTTGAATAGATACGTCCACTCCCACCCCAATTACAAGCCACCAAGTACCTGAGCAATGGACTAGGAGCACTGTGAAGCAAGTAGGAGGAGACCACCATGAGATGTTTCAACATGGTAGCTACACTTTACACACTTTGTAATGAGGTAAGGTAAATAAGGTAAATAATTCAGTCTCCCTCCTCCACCTTCTAGCGATTGATTAAAAAAAAAAACTTTAGTTCATAAGAAAGGAACCCAAAAGGTTTTTAAATATGGAAAGACATTTTATTAGATGCTGGATTAATACTTAAACAGCCTCACATGTCTATCTAAATGAAGCAACTTCTGTCAATTCAACAAGACTATTTACACTTTTAGTAGCAAAATATATTCCAAGATTTTTTCATCCTTAGAGCTGAAATCTAATTATCTTGCACAATAAAAGAAATGTATTGCCCTATTCCCTGTTCTGAGCCAAAGTTAGTTTCTTCAATAGTTTTCAGTAGATTTTTTTGTCAGTAGAGTTGACTAGGAAAAAACAAGCATAAAACAGATTGTGGCCATTGTTCTGTTGGAGGCCTCAGTTTTATTCATAGTGAAACATGTTATTGAACTCAGCATTGAAATGGATGCTAATGTATCAGTATGCTCAGTTTGGTGCATAAACTCCACAGCAGTTACTTCCATGTCTTCCCGGGAACACAAAGCACTTCTTATGTAAGAGAAAGAGAATCTATAAACAAAAGAGCTTTTCTCTGAAAGTGTTCTCTGCAGAGCTTATTTGCACAAAGTACTTCCTGAATTAAGGACATGTCCAGTTTCACTTGAAACTGTCTCTGGTAACTTTTTCTTTCTATTTTTCAGGCTTCATTTGTTTTTCTTAACAAATTACAGAAACATATCTCACTTAAGGATAAATTTATTGCAAACTCTTGGAAGGCTCTTTTAAACTCAATTTACGGGAAAGTTGATAGTACGTCAAGTGATGAGGAGGTAAAGTTAATCATGTGACTATCATTTACTCAATTGACAATGTGCAATCTGTTTGAGTTATTTAAATTGTAATAAAGTAGAAAATATTGCTTACTGGATTGAAAAGAAGAGTGACGGGGTAGACTTTCATAATATTGAAAAACATTTGTTCAAGGAGCCAATATTAGTCTGTTTAAGTACAAAACCAGCTCTGCCACTTTGTAGCTGTGTGACTTCAGGCAAGTTCTTCACCTCTCTGTGGCTCAGTTGTATCTGTAAAATGTAGAGAACAATACAACCAACAAAGGAGGCTATGGTATTGTGAGGATTGGTGTACAAATGGTATTTAGACATAAAAATAAAGATTCAATAAGGAATACAGTTATTTCCCCTAACTCTGGTTTCTGTTGTTATTATATATTTATGGTAATGACATAGGAATGGCCCGGACAGTAACAATAAAACTTCAGCAGAATTCAATTTGAGCTCAGTGCAAGTTCCAGGGTGGATTGTTTTCAGTATGTTTGTGGTATATATTATCACACTGTATTAAAATCCAGTTTTGTGTCCCCACTGCCTCTATATCAGCTAACTCATCTTCCAGTCATGATTCTTGACCTGAGCATATAATTATTTTTCATGAATTTTATTTTAATAAGTTATGTATAACCTATAACATTTTATTTATTATATAATTTTTATTATTTATTATTATATTATAATGTATTTTAAAATGCTTCTGTGGTGTCCAGCCTTTTGACATTGCAACATGATATCATTTACAAATGTGTTGGGCTACATTCATAGTTATCTTGAAAAGCATGTGGTCTGTGGGGCTCGGGGCTGGACATGCTTCTTCATGCTATAAAGCCACAAAGCTGGTCTTCATTGTATACCTTTTGATTCATTCCGTGCATTTATTTTAGTCACCTGTTTTGACATATTTTTCTTTAAGGACTGCCTTGTTCCGTTCTGTGATGAAGATGAAAACAGTGTCCATATTCCTGAGGGGAAGTCATCAGAGACTTTTCAAGAGCCAGAACATATTGTAGAGCAGACATGGTGTCGTGTACTAGACGATGACTTAGTTGTTGGAATGAAAGTCACATCTTCGAAACTGTAAGTAAATTTTAATGTAATAATGCTATGTAAATGCTGCATACCAACCCTATCTAATAGAAATTAATGAAAGGCACATGTAATTTTAATTGTTCTAGTAGCCATATTAAAAATTGAAATAAAAGCAAGTGAAATAAGTTTTAGTATTTTATTGGGTACCCTCCATGCAAAGTTTCATTTTAACATATAATCAGTATAAAAACTATTAATGAGATACTTGTTTGCATATTGAGCTTTTGAAATTTGGTTTGTCTAACAGGTTTTAATTTCCACTTGCCATGTTTCTACTGTTTAGTTGCTGTATGTGTCTTGGCCAGGAATATTCTACAAATATCCATTTTATACAGATGCATTGAGTTTTTTTGAGGAGCATGGCATTTACAAAATTAAGATGATATTCTCAGGGTGGAGATAATTAAAGAGCACACGGAATGTTTTATCAAAGCATGGAGAAGAATTAGGAGCATGTAGAAACTTTAAACTAGCATGGACTGGAGAAAGTTTAGTTAAATAACTAAATGTCTAATAATAGAAGATTTTTCTTCTCGGGCTGTTGAAATCATAGAAAGGGAAATAATATCTCTACTGTCTGAAGCTGAGAGAAAAGCTTTCCCAACAAAACAATGAAGCACAAATATGCGTACAGACAAGTTGGAGAGCCTCTGCTAGTCTATTTGACTGGAACAGTGTGGAGTTCAAACAACTTACCTAGTAATTTGAGGTTTTTACTTGATCTTGTTTCAGTGAGTTCCTTTTTATTTCATGACAAAGGATCTCACTGTAGCCTAAGTTGATCTAGAACTCTGTTTTGCCAAGCCTGGCTTCAAGCTCTTGATCCTGGTGTCCCAGCCATCCCAGCTCAAGGATTCCAAGTGTATTACCATGCCTGCCTGTTCACTGACTTCCTAAGGTGTTTGAGGTGATGGAGCATGCAGGTTTGGGGGTTTTTTGTTTCATGTGGTGAGTTAGGTGAATCCGTTTTCTACTCTAAAACTAATTTTGCAATCCTGAGTTTTATAAACCCAAATTCATTATATAGTTTGGGTGCATTAATAATAGATTTGGTTTCCTCATGTTTGGTCAAGAATATTTGCATTTGTGAACACGAGTGAAGTCGCCTTGAAATTTCCTTCAATAATATTTTCTTGGTTTTAGTCCCAATGCTGTAACAGTTTGCTCATTTGTTCATATGTATTTATTCATGTTGAGTCTTGCTTTGTTGCCCAGGCTAGCCCAGAGTTCCTGGGTTTAAATCATCCTGTAAGCTCAGCCTCCTAGTAAGCCGCGCTGTTTTGTTTTGTTTTTCCTGATCTGTGGAAGACTGTATAAAATCCAAATTATTTGGGCTTTGCCATTTGGTTGTACTGATCTGGAAAGCCGTGAATTTTGAGATAATTCTTAACTGGTGATCAATTTCTCTAAAAGTTGTGGATAATACAGATTTTATTCTTAAAAACCATTTGCTTATGTTTTTCTAGTAATTGAATGCTGTGATACATACAAACATTTATCAACTGTGCTGTCAGCAGTTTTCATTCTAAATCTTGTGTCTGTTCATGAGCAATTTTCCAGAATGTTGTTCATTTTATTAGACTTTTCAGTCGAATAATTTCGCTTTAATGATTTATGATTTTGAATTGTTTCCTAGTTTTTAAAATTTCTAGTCCTTCATTTTCTTACTATTTTAGGCTTATACTATTATTCCTTTTATAACTGTTTCATCATGATGTGATTGGATGTGGATTTCTTTATATTCTTCATTAGGCTGTTAAACTTCCAGACCTTGAGAATTGACTTTTTTTTAAAGCAGTTCAGGAAAGATACTAGAAGTGATGTTACACTTGTTCATTCTGTATTCCATGTTTCATAGCCTACCTCTGTACCCTCTGTTCATCTCATTGCCTCTTAGGTCGTGTCTTCTGATATAGTCTATTCACTAATTTTATCTCCAATTTTCTAGTCCACTGTTTATTCCACATTTTCATTTACATTTGTTCTATTTACCCCTTCCTAGGTTCACCTGGTCATGTTTTATTGTCTCATAATTTTCAAGCTTTTATATCCTTAGTATGGTGAACATGATTACTTTTTTAAATGCTTTTTATGTATAGAAAATTTCAAACATACCAAACGGCATGGTGACATCATCTTCTCATGACTCAGGTCCAATAATTATCAAATTATTACTAATCTTGTTATATATGCACCTTTATTCACAACCCTCCAGATTATTTTGAAGCAAAAGTATGTCATCTGTAAGTATTTTAACACACACACACACACACACACACACACACACACACAATGAGAACATTAAAAATGTGTTTGGCTAACAATAATTCTCTCGGGCAATGTTCACATTTACCTCTTGTCTTGAATTTAAAATAAGTTTTTAAAACATAAGCCAAATAATATTTATAAATTGGACCTGGCTGCATATACATCCCCATAATCTGTACACACTCCTTTCTTGTGTATATGTTGTTTTTTCTTGTAATGTATATTTTGAAGTAACCAAGCATTTTTCCCTGTAAAGTTCAATGGGCTAGACTTTGCTGAATTTATCCCATGGTATAGCATAACACGTTTCGCTGTCACCTTTATGCCCCCTAAATCAGAAGTTAGATATCAAAGCTGAGTCATTGACTAAATGTTTGAATTTATATTAAAAGAATACTGAATAGATAATGCCTTCTTTCATCAGAAAGCATGTAAAAATGCTTTGGGATTTATCAGCCAGAATAACATTGTTAAGAACAGTTCTTCAGGAATTGGATACGTATGCCCTTAAATGATGTGATTTGTAATTAGAAACAAAAGCCTGGTCAGGACAAGGTGCTTGTTTGCAGCTCAATGGATTGTTCTTTCTTGGGATTTTGTATATGCAGAGATAAGTGCTGTCTTTGGTTGACTGGTTGACTGTGGGGGTTTATTCTTAGTGGTAAAATCTAGCATAAATCCATGCTGATACTTCCAATTTGGAGTAAAGACTTTACAGTCTTATCACTACCAGTCTTGTAGCTCAGTTTCTCCCCCTCTTGCTGAAAAACCCCAGCTCTCAGTTACACCAACAAAATTACTCTTTCTTCATTACACAATCTGTATATGATAGTCATGGAATCAAAATATCAACAGTATGATTATTACAAGTTGTTTCTTTAAAATCCTTTGCCTAATCTTTAGTATAACCCAGCAGATAGTGAAATTCCTATCTTTGGTATGCATCACCATTCCTTGATAACATGATAGAGTTGGAATGTGCCTAAATAAACCTGAGGCATATTTGTCAATTATGAGGAATATCAATCACAAAAACTTTTGTGAAAGATAGGAAATAATCTATATTTAAGTTAGATTTTAAGTTACTCAGGGAAGGTTTACTTCAGAGGTATTTTATTCTAAATTATTACCAGAATTTAAAAATGAGTAATTTCTTTTTATGTATTTCAATAAGATTCATTCACTGATAATTTCATAGAATGTATTTTCATCATATTAAGCCTCCTCCCTCAGCTCCTCCCAGATCTACTTCCACCTCTCTACCCACCAAACTTTATGTTATTTCCCTTTTTTAAAAACCCAGGAAATCTAGTTTGTATTAGGCAGCTCCTCTTGGGTGTGGGGACTACCCAGGAGTGTGATTGATGTACCTGACATCACAGACCTTTTCAAGTCTGTGTGGCTTTTACTCCCAACTCTTTAAAATTTTGCATTGAAATGATTTTTCCTAGGGAAGGAGAGAATAACTGTTTTCTTGTTTTTTGTAAACATTTAATCATTTATTTGATTCTTTTAAAAGAATGTGCAGAATAAGCCAAATTCTTGTTTTTTCACAGATCTCCTAATGAAATGACGTTATCACTGATAATGGATCAAGGCAACAGGTCCAGCTTTCAGCTTATGAAGTGTCAAAGTCAGGTGACTAGGTTGAGTATGAGTTCTCACCCAGAAGCATACTTGATGCCAGTGGAAACAGGAGCAAAGAGAAAAAGGGACAAGTTGACCTCTGGGAGCAAGGATGAGGAAACGTCTTTTTGTGAACAATTCTCTAAGACAGAACCTACACACATAATGACTGCTGTCACGCCTCTTTCACCACTTCTAGTATTTAACAAGTTGTGCTGCACTTTACTGTTAAACATTAGTGACAGAGATAATGATAACAATACTGTGCATGATTATATTGTATGTGGCAACCTTGATTTTAATCTCCAAGATCTTTTTAGTATGAACCACCTACTGGCGTTCCCGACGAAGCAATCAATAGGTAATTGGAGGGCTAATTTTTTGTTGTATGCTTAATTGAATCAGAAGATTTTGAAAATTGGTTGATAGTGACAGAATTTAAGGATAGGATTTGTGATATGCTTTCCTTGTAGAATGTATGGAAGATCTTTTCTCACTTCTTGCCGTATTGCACAAATACTGTTTTCTTGTCACATCACCTGCCCATGCCCCGAATCTAATGAAGATGTGGCTCTTGAAACACATGAAATGTGAAATCATCAATGACTTTAGAGAAATATACCTTTATAAAAAGCTACGAAGTTGTGGGGCACTCTTCTCTTGGAAGCCAAGAACAACATTTGAAGGAATTTTAACAGTGTACTGCAGGTAATGTATATCCAGTTCAAACTAATTCAGAGAAGTTCGTGTGTCTGAGTGGTCTAATAATCTCTGTGTAGAATTCTGTGTTAGGACATGTCACAATCTTGGCCTGGTATTGCTTGAATGGATAGAAATTTGATGTCTTTTCTTTAGTTTTTTGTTTTATATATTTTAGACCCTAGCAGTTATTTTAGAGTTTACCCCTTCTCTATAGTGAATTTTCAGTAAATACTATGTTGCTGTTATTACTGAGCAAAAGATACATAATCAGGCCAGTAACTTGACTGCTGCTAAGTTGGTTAGTACAGGATATGTGTACTGATATAGTCAGACTTTTATTAATGAAAGCATGCATTTTTATTATCGATCTTAGTGTTTATGAGTGAATATGAATTGGTTACTATAATATGTCGCGTGTGACCCTTGTGTCCATTGCAGTTGTAGCACGTTTGTCTTGTATTTTTAGGAACCAAGGAGTTTTATTCCAGTGTCTTGACCATCTCTTCAAAGTGCTCCCTGAAAAATGTTTCTTCCAATACCTGGCATTAGGAACTGAGGATGTCCTAATGAATCATTTGTCATCCACTTTGGAGCAGGAACTAGTTACCTTTTGTTCTCTTTCTACTTCTGCCTTTGAATATGTTAGAGACGGATTGGTGCATCCGTATAAGATAAGCAAAACAAGTAATAGTGCCACAAGTGCTTCAGCGGCAAAGGCCAAAATCCATCTGCACGAACAAGAAGTACAGGGAGAAAGACTGATACAGGACTTGAATCTGAAAGTGAATGGTGCCAGCTATGCGGAGATGACTTTGGCATTAGCTGAGACGCAATTGAAATCAGACCTTATTGCAGAGAAACTGGCCAATTTGTAATGATACTTTCAAAATCTTGTTTTAAAATGTTTCAACTGTCGTAAAGTGTTGGTTTCACTTGTTATCCTTTGTTAATATAAAGATTAAAACTTACTATAATCCCTAGGGTCTTGTTTTTGTTTTATTGTTTTTGTGTGTGACATAGGATCTCATTCTATAATTTAGGCTCTCCTATAATTCAGTTATGGAGCCTGTACTGGTCGTACTTAGGATTGCAGAAATCTACCTACCTCAACCTCTCGAGTAGCAAAATTAGAGGTGTGTGCTCAATTATGAGTATTGATGACACAATATGGTATTTCCAATAGAGCAGCAGTTTCTTACATTGTCATTTTGACTCCCTTTGCTTCTACCTTCTATTGCAATGGGGCATTTGACTGTGTCTGGAGACTTCTTTGTGTTAGAATTTGTAGAGGATGGTTTATGTTTATATAATCAGAAAAACTGAGACAAAATAAGAATGTGTAATAGTGGCACTTTGGAATGGATGATTATTTGTTGTGGGGCTTTGTTTTATGTTAGTAGGAAGTTTAGCAGCATCTCGGACTTCCTCTACCCACTAGATGCCTGTAAGATTCTCAGCCTACCTTTGCAGGGAGTTAAGGCCAGGATTCTATGAAACCTTCTGCTATTCAAGGATAGCCCACACAGCAAAGAACTAAATCCAAAAGTCCAAAGAACTAAAATGTCAGTAATTTAGGTTTGAGAAATCTTTTCTTAAATTTACCACTTCAGTAAAAAATATTTTGCTCTATTTTTAAAAAAAGCTTCTTTTTGTGTATTCTGCTTAGTAAAACATGACATGTAAAAAACCAACTTGAAATGGATGAACTAAATTGGATTGTCAAAATCATTTTCAAAAAATTTTTTTTACATTTTATTTATTATTTTTTTAATTTTAAAATTAATTTAATTTTACATATCAGCCATGGATTCCCCTGTTCTCCCTCCTCCCACCCCTCCCCGTCACACACCCCCCCCCCCCCCGCCCGCCGCCCTCCCTCCAACCCACCCCCCCATTCCCATCTCCTCCAGGGCAAGGACTCCCCTGGGGATTCAGCTCAGCCTGGTAGATTCAGTCCAGGCAGGTCCAGTACCCTCCTCCCTTCACCCAGTTGAGCAAAGTGTCCCAGCATAGGCCCTAGGTTCCAAAAAGCCAGCTCATGCACTAAGGACAGGTCCCAGTCCCACTGCCTGGGGGCCTCCCAAACAGTTCAAGCTAATCAACTGTCTCACTTATCCAGAGGGCCTGATCCAGTTCCATGGGGGCTCCTCAGCTATTGGTTCATAGTTCATGTGTTTCTACTAGTTTGGCTATTTGTCCTGTGCTTTTTCCAATCAAGGTCTCAACATCGCTTGTTCATACAATCCCTCTTCTCTCTCGCTGATTGGACTCCCGGAGCTCCACCTGGGGCCTGGCCGTGGATCTCTGCATCTGATTCCATCAGTCATTGGATGAGAGTTCTATCATGACAGTTAGGGTGTTCGGCCATCCGATCATCAGTTCGGGCTTTCTCTCGACCATTGCCAACAGTCTATTGTGGAGGTATCTTTGTGGATTTCTGGGGACACTCTTGGGCATATACCCGAGGAATGCTCAATCATACCACAAGGGCACATGTTCAACTACGTTCATAGCAGCATTGTTTATAATAGCCAGAACCTGGAAACAACCTAGATGCCCTTCAGCTGAAGAATGTATAAATAAAATGTGGTACATATATACAATGGAGTACTACTCAGCAGAGAAAAACAATGACATCATGAGGTTTGCAGGCAAATGGATGGATCTAGGAAAAATCCTGTGTGAGATAACCCATATTCAGAAACACAAATATGGTATGTAGTCACTCGTAGGTGGATACTAGATGTAAAACAAAGGATGAGTAGACTGCTACTCACAACTCCAGGGAGCCTACCTATTAAAGAGGACCCTAAGAAAGACACAGGGATCGCCCAATGACAGAGAAATGGATGAGATCTACATGAGCAAACTGGATGTGAGGGGGGATAAGGAAGGGCAAGGGTCGGGGGAAAGAGAGCTTAGGGAGCGGGAGATCCCAGCTGGATCAAGAACAGAGAGGGAGAACAAGGAAAGAGAAACCATGATAAATGAAGACCCCATGGGAATAGGAAGAAGCAAAGTGCTAGAAATCACTTTTTGATATACCTAGCCCTTCTGGAAAATTAAATATAGTGGTGAGTGAGACCAGTTTGTGAAGCTCTGGTTATGTTGTATTAGAGAGCCACTCTGAAATTATACAACTGTGGGAATGCAAAGAACTTGGGACATTTTTCTTAAAAGAACATCTCTCTCAAATGGCTAAGTGTACCTCACAAGCTACTATACTATCAGAAGTAAAATTGTGGGACTGAGCAGAGAGCTTAGTGTATAAAATAATTTGGCCTGCAAGGCTGGGGACCTGAGTTCTGATCTCGGCATCCTACGAGAGCTAGATGCAGAGCATGCTCCTATAGAGGCAGTGCTCCTACAATGAGATGAGAAGTGGAGACAGGAGAATTCCTGGAACCTCATGGGGAGGGGTAGCTTGATACCTATAATGGCGAACAATAAGAGACTCCATCTCAAACAAGACGGAAGGTGTGCGGCACATATTCCTGTGCTCGCACACACATTTTCCATGCAAAAAAAAATTGAAAATGTTTTTGGTGCCTTATGAAATTCCAACTGGAGGCAAAAACTGAAATACAGAATTATAACTAGACTAAAGAATATAGTTCTCAGAGGTAAAAAATTTAAAATAAGTGAAAATTCATTAAAGAACTGATGTATAAGATCTAGTGAGTGACATTTGAAAGAGATAAAAGTTCAACCTACTTTCTCTTCCTGAAAAAGAATTGTAAAAGAATGTGTTTAGTATGTGTGTGGGTGTGCAAGTGCCATGGTATCCATGTGAACTTCAGAGAACACTTTTGGGAGTCATTCTCCGTCTACTATGTGGGTCTAGGGGATTGGACTCAGGTCACCAGGCTTAGTGGCTAGTGCCTCTACCCATGGAACCATCTCACTAACACTGAAAAAGAATTCTTAATAACAAGAGTGTCTGGAAAAGAAAGGAAGGGGGCAGGTGTAGGTCCCTTTCGTTTTACGGTCTTTGACTAAGATGCTGACTGTCTTCTCAGTTGATAGAGCTAAAGCTGATTGCACAAAGTGACACCTTATGTTTGCAAGCATGAAGTATTAACTGCTCCCATGCTTTCCTGGTAACTAATGATCTGGGCATGCCAATGGTTTGAAAAGAACGCAGGTTATTTTCTTGACAACTGTCAGTTTGCCCAAATCCTGTAGAGAAAAATTTTCAAGACATCTTAAGTGTGACAGTTGTTTAGCTCTGGGCCTAGATTTAGTGAGGGGTCAAGAAATATAATATTATTGACAGATAGCTTTATGCCCACCAGTAATCTTGAAGGACATATAAATACATTCCTATGCATATCTGTGCATACAGAAGGTTAATTTGTTTTTTAGTATTAGAGATTAAGCATAGGTTCCCATACCAGCTAAGCAAATGCTCGACACTCAACTATATATACCCAGCTCTCTTACTTTAAAAAATGAATCTATTCTAATTAAAATATAATTACATCATATACCCTTTCCTTCTCTTCTCTCCACCCTCTCTCATGGCCCCTCCTCCCATTTGAAGAACACAGCACGTTTGCTTTTAAGGACAGTTGGTACAGTGGAAAGACACACAAACTGTACTTTATCAAGTTCTTCCAAGGGCTTGTTCTGTTCGCCATTTGGGGTTGTCTGTGTCTGTGATTTGAGTTGCTTACTACCTCAACAACAACAAAAGCCTTTTTTCCCCTTTGATCCAAGTTCTTAAAATGCTAATAGTCTGGTCATATCTTCAAAAGTACCTCTGACTTTTATTAGTATATTAATGAAAGAGGCTTAATTTATACTCATAGATATTTTGCATTTTAGATGCTAATAACATATTATACCACTGAAACAAAAGTCTTCTGGCTTCAGTTTCTTGGTCACCTTTTAGGACCTCATTTCGGGAACCTATCCTGCCCGTTGTATTCAGTGGGACCAGGTCCTGTTTATATATTGATTTTTGGTAGTAAGCCAAACACCCACAGTGCTCTCATTGTTTGAATATTGGACATGTACATTTATGAGTGGCTTTGCTGGATGTACTTGTGTACTTGTGCTAGGGAGGTGGTGTGTGGGGTGGGGGGACTGGGAGGAGTGGGTGGAAGGAAAAACTGTGGTTGGAATATATTGTATGAGAGAAGAATACATTTAAAAAGAGAGTACTTGGGGCTGTTCAACATCATGGCCTTGAGTTCAGCTAGGAAGTTCTTTCCTACCTTTAACTTCATCTTTAATTATCCATTTCTTCACAGTAGTAGTCAATTTGGAAAAATCATAAATAGTGTTATGGTCAGTAAAAGCATAGCACTTGTCATCAAAATGCTTAGCATTTGTCCTTACAAGTTCAGTCGGAAGTTAGAAGTACCATGTGCTCTATTAATTACCGCTTGCACACCCTTCTCCTCCTTTCTCCAAATCACACTTTCTTTTGCTTAGAAAGCTCCTTTTCCCCCAGCTCGAGTGATTGGGGAGGTGGCCTTAATCATACTGAGAGAGGGGACTTGGTTCTCTGTGGAGGAAAGGATTCTATGCAGCTCTTGCTTGAAGCAGCTAGTCCTAATTTTCAAAGCCGAGAGTTATAATCACAGGAAATTAGGCCTTGGAATGAGATTAAAAGTAGACAGTATTTTTATTGTTACATCTGACTCAAACCAAATGCTCTTTAAACTGCACTGCCAATAACTTCAGAAAAAAAAGTACTTGTGACAAAAAGTAAAGATCCTGTTATAGCTGAATTGTCTCTAGCCACTAGCTTTGATACCAACACATACTTCAAAAACTGTTTAATTATCCACCCCCCCCCCACCTGTGGGACAGAGTCTCCTTGTGTGGTCTAATCTGGCATGGGCCTTTCTACATAGCCCAGCGTGACCTCAAAGTAAAAGGCAATAATCTCTACTTTAGGTTCCCGAGTGCTGAGGTCACGTGTGGGCCACCACCCCCCATATTCTCTGCTTCTTTCCTGTTACAGCAGACC